CATAGGGTCGGCAGGGCTGGACGAGACCTTCGAGATCATCCAGTCCGACCGTTAACCTGTCACTCCGCTCTAACCCCTAAACCATATCTTCCAGCGCCAGGTCCAGACGCCTCTTAAACACTTCTAGGGACGGTGACTCCACCACCTGCCTGGATAACCTATTCCAGTGCCCGATTTTGTGCTTGGAGGCTTTTCCATGCCTGGGAGAGGCTATGAGTATGCTGAAAGATGGAATACAAAGCTGAGATGATCTGAGTAGATCAGAGGAGGGGTCTGAGGTCAGGTGGCATCAATCCAGCTGCGTGGGAGCACGAGTAAGAGGCCGCAGGTCTGAGAAGGTGAATTCCCGTGTGGCTATGGGGACAGAACAGCGAGGTGATGCTTCCAACCCTCTCAGCACTGGGGAGGCTGCAGCAGGTACCAGCCAGCAGGAAACCAGTGAGCAAAACGCTGCTTGTGAGGAAGGGCTGGAGAGAGTCTGCAGATACTACAGCAGGCACATCACATTTCAGCCACATTTGAGCTTATTCTCACTGATGACATTCTGGCATGACAAGAAAGCCAAGACAACTGTGTTTCCGGCTCCATCAATACCTGTGCTCAGGAAGCTGCACCAGAGACCCTGGCTAAGGAGCATCTCCAGTTACCATCACGTTCAAGCTAAAGCTTCCAAAGAACAAAAATAGAAATTGTACTGCTACCCTAAATAGTAACTAGCCAAATTGTATTGATAGACAATAAGAGTTTCCAGAAGGGTTAGAGAGGAGAAACACACAGAATCTGGGTGGAGAACACACAGGACTCCCCTACCATGCTGTGCAGAGCTGGGCAGTGACTGCAGGGTCAGAAAGCTGGCATCAGGCTCAAAGCTTTCACCGTGCCAAAATAATCCTGCAATAACAGTTCTCCCAGTGTTGGAATCTGATCCTTTTACAAAATGCTTGTTTCTAGGCAGTATTCAGGATGCTGGAATGAATCACTGCCCCAGGCTACGTCAGCTGCCTCATCCAGTTGCTCAGCTGTTTTCCCACATAGCTGCTATTATTTTTTTCCTCTGAAAGCTGGGAAAAAAATGGCTGGAAGCAACACAAGGCTGCCCTTTTCCAAGGACCCATCAGCTTTTATCTCTGTTTTCATCATAGACCCAATGGTTTTGCTGTTAGCCACTTCTACCTAAATGCCACCTCCTCCTGACAAGGTACATCTAAGCCCTGCCTCACAAAGCAGCTTCTCATAGCAAGCTGATGGCACACCTGGAGGGGCTGATCCAGTCCTCCCTGCCCTCGGCCTCTTCTCTCAGGGCCAGTCCCAGAGGGAGCTAAGCAAAGAGTATTTTTGACTCCCAAAGGTGCTGCCCCCCATAGCTACAATCCCTGCACAAACCTATTCCCATTTGGTGTGAAAAGGCTACATCAGCACCCTTTTTTCGCGGGTGACCTCAGCCTCTTTCCTGCCCACCTCTCGGGGGAGGGGAACCCAAGGGATCTCATCAGTGGCTCACAGCATCCCTGTGCAATAAGGGCACATCAAGCCCTTGAAGGTCATTGCCCAAAATAGCAACCAACCAACCAGAGCTTAGGGGATAGGATATACTAGGAAAAGTCTGGCTACATCAGCACCCTTTTTTCGCGGGTGACCTCAGCCTCTTTCCTGCCCACCTCTCGGGGGAGGGGAACCCAAGGGATCTCATCAGTGGCTCACAGCATCCCTGTGCAATAAGGGCACATCAAGCCCTTGAAGGTCATTGCCCAAAATAGCAACCAACCAACCAGAGCTTAGGGGATAGGATATACTAGGAAAAGTCTGTTACAGCAGAAAATCAGGCCCATTCTGCTGCTGCACACAGACCTGGGTGATGGCCAGCAGTACAAAAAGGTCCCTGGGGAGTCAGAGGCTTTGGAAAGAACAGACTTGCTGCTTTCCCAGTCCCATGATGGTAATTTTCCCTGTAGCCAGAGCTCATCCTTTTAAGATGCTTGGATCTCCAGACAGCTCTTTGCATTGAGCTTTCAGGCTATGTTTCACTGTCCCACATCAAATCAATGACCCTGTTGTTCTGCTGGTTTCTTACTTACATGCTTCTTTTCTCCTCTTTGCATCATTTTTTCCCCAGGTCTCAAGGCTGCACTTTTCCAATGACCATTGATTGCCTATCTGGTCATGTCCCTAGTCCCAGTCCATGCCTACCACTTCAGGGTGGTAGGTGACTATCTTCCTGGCTCAGCCTTAAATGCCACATCCTAAGGAGGGCCACCTCATCCCAAGCTCAGGTTCACCCAACAGCATCTCATGACAAGCTGAAAACACCTGACAGCCTCACTCCTAACACCTGACACACATGATGTAAGAGTTTTATAGCCTAAACGCCTACAGCCTCTTAGCAGGGGAAAGACTGCATTTACAGGACCATCAATGGCATGGCCAGGCTCAGTGCGCACCCTGTCCCCCATGCAACCTCCCAGAACATCCATGCAGAGCACCCTGCAGCCACAGCACCCCGCAGCCACAGCACCCCAAAAAGGCTGCCAACCTTCTGCAGACCCTCATCCCTTCATTTCCGCTGCCCTCCCACCCCACGAGGCTGATAAATGCAAAGACATAACAGTGGTGTGCATAGCGATTGTGGTTAGATTTTATTGTTTTTTTTGTTTTGTTTTGTTTAGTTTTTTTAACCCATATATTTGTTATAATACAAAATATACAGACTGGAGATGCCAAGCAGGTTGTGAGTCACCGTGCCCTTGGGCAGGGGGGTCACACCATGCAACCTACAGCGTGAGGGAGGAGGAGGAGGCATCTGCTCTACGTGGCAGGAGACAGTGGGTACCCCGTAGAGCTTGGGAGGAGGAAGAATGGGGAGAAAGAGATGGGAGGGGTAAGGGTCAGGATACCTGTCCTCCCACCCTTGGGAGAATGCAAGTGAGAGCTCAGCCCCACAGCAAACCGAGGAAAAGGTCTGTGAGATGAATAGTGTTGCATGAACCTAAAAACACATCATGTCTATGAGATGAATATGGTGAATGAAACTAAAAACATATCTGCAAGGGGACAGGGACAGTCCCACTGGAGAGCAGCCTCATAGTTTTGGCTCAGAGCCCCAGGGGGGAATCTAATGTCTCCAACACCAGGGTCTCAGCCTGGGTCTGGGGCCTGGCCCAGCATAGGTGCTGGCCTTGCACCCCTTCCCCATTGATCCCAGACACTGCAGCTCAGACCAGCCCCAATCGCCCTTGGCTGCCAAGGATGCATAGGCTGAAGCCACACGGTCAGGCGCTGCCAGGGCTGAGTACATTCCCAATGCCCGTGGGGGACTTCTGGCTGGCATGGGATCATTAGCCCATGGGCATTACTGTCCCAGCTACAACTCTGAGTGGTACGCAAGCAGGACAGGCCTGCCCGCACACACCCAGCTCCAGGGAGCTGACAAAGACATGGGGAGCCACAGGGTCCCCAAGCAGGCTCTCACATGGCCTGGGAGAAGGGGCTGGGCAGACCCTGCCCCGAGGTGACTCTCCAGCCTGCCAGCATCATTGCAATGACTTCTGACTGACCTCAGCCTTGGCTTTCTCCCTCAGGAGCTGCCAGCTCAGATGTGTCACCAGCACAGGGTGGTGGGGACACCCTGTCCCATTGCTCATTCTCCAGCCCCTGGGCAGCGGGCGGGCTGGGACAGACAGGCCACAGGAGCAGGGCAAGGTCAGCAGCAAACAATGCCAGGAGTGTGGCTCTGAGCCCTAAGGGCCAGGATGGCCACTGGAGCCCAGCACATCTCCTTCCTCCATGTGTCCCCCCCATACCTTGGCTGCCATGTCCTCAGGAAGGGTTATAAAGCGTGTCTCTCCATTGGAGCCTCAAAGTGGTTCCCTGAGGTCCCTGTGTGCCAGCATCCCAAACTTGAGATACAGGGGCTGAGCTTGCAGCCCTCCCAAGCCTGCATCCTCCAAACTGGGGGACCAGTGCCACAAGAAGGCGCCTCAGGATGCCTTTAGTCTGCCCTCTCCCTTTCTCTGGATGAGCCTCCTAGGTCTAACTGAGCCCCCTGGGATCAGGGGCTGCTCTCCATAGTTCATGCAGCAATGAACCCCAAGTGCCCCATGTGGCTGCCTTCTCCAGGCACAGCTCCTCTGCCCACCCACTGGCCCAGGGCCTGGGCAGGAAGGGTGGCTGGCAGCTCAGGGCCAATACACCGGACACGCTCCCCATGGCAGGGCATAGCCAGGGCAGGGGAGGAAGCCGAGGCACCGGCACCCATTGCAACACTTTATTGGTTTCTAGACAGCGTCACTGGAGGGGTTGGGCTGGAGCCAGGGTTCAGGGCTCCTGGGGCTGGGGGAGCTGTGGCTGCATGGGGTGCTGTGCATGGGGAAGACCTCTACTGCAGCCCAAGGCTGCAGCTTCCCCACCAGGAATTGGTGCAGGAAGGTCCATCCAGGTGAAATGCTCATCCTGTGCCAGCTGACATCTGGGAGTACCTGCTTGGGATCCCCCAAGGAAAGCAGAACCAGCCCAGGGGGAAGGGAAGATCTCAGCACCAACTGCATCTCCGGGCAGGGAGACCCTGTCCCATAGGGGTATCTGTGCAGCCGGTGGAGGGGAGGCTCAAAGGAAAAGTCAAGATAGAGAAGCAGGTTCTGGGCACAGTTGGCAGGAGAGCTCGGCTGGAGGCAGGTCCGGGAGCTAAATCACACTGTCGAACAGCTGCATGGACCGCATGATATTCTCGTCCTGTGGGGAGCAGGTGGGAAGTGGGCAAGTTGGGCACAGAACAGCAATCTGGGCAGCTTCCCCAAACCTGGCTTTACCCTCATGGCTGTTCTGGCACATGGGACAAGTGCCCCAGGGATTACAGGCAGTTTCCAAGCCCTGCTAGGATGCACAGCTCCCCTCATCTGCACAGGGTTGCTGGCACAGGTACACTTCCCATAGCAGAGACCCAGCCTTGCCCCTGGGAGCCCTGCCTTCATCCCCTCTCTGCCAGGAGGGAAGGGTGGGGGACAAAGGTCCCCAAGGGACAAGGGGGTGACCCAGTCCAGAGCAGAACTGCTAGTGCCTTTACCTTCTGACAGGACTCCAGGAACTCCTCGATTGTCACCACGCCATCCTTGTTCCGGTCCATTTTCTGCAGACAAGCACAGTACAAAAGGCATGGTAGGGACAGCCCCAGCCCCAGGGAGAGCTGAGTACCCCCTGCCCAGCTCCCACAGGAGCTGGACCTAATGCACCCCTGCCCCAGCCATCCCCAAGCACCCAGCAGAACCAGCACGGCCATGCCTCATCCCCAGTGTGAGATGTTTTCTACTGCACCCACTGGCTCTGTGCTGGAGCTCTGCTTCCCCAGGATGTGCTCAACTTACTTGGAAGAAGTTCTCCACATGCTCCCGGGGTGCTTCCTCCCGCATGGCCGGGTAGGTGTATTTGCCCATCATGTCGTAGATGGACTTCATGATATCCAACATTTCCTGGTGGGAAGGGGAGCAGGGTCAACATGGTGCTCTGATTCTTCCTGGTTCCTGGCCTGCACCTTTTTCATGATGCTCCCGAAGGACCCGTGGGGTGCTCAGGTGTACTCCTGCTGGTTCTGTGCACAGTGCGGGGCCATGTGTGTGTCTGCACATTTGATGGAACTCCCTAAGCAGCACAACCCCCATCCACCCATCCACAGAGACACACCAGTGCCAGGGGGCCAGGAGGGACCTGTGTGCAAAGCTGAGCTGTTAAATACTGCCCCCACAAGCTCTCCTCGAGCCCAGACAATGCCCCCAAGTGCTGTCATTGCCCCTGTCAGGTGCAGACTTGCACTGGCCCTGGAGATCAGTCTGGATCCCCTGTCCCACCTCTTTGGTGATGCAGCCATCTTTGTTCAGGTCATAGAGGTTGAAGGCCCAGTTCAGGCGATCGTCAATGGTGCCGCGCAGGATGATGGACAGCCCAGACACAAAGTCCTGCAGGGATGGACAAGGCAGGCAAATGGGAGCTATGGCAACAAAAGGTCTCATGGTCACAGAAGACACAGCCTTGCCTCTCCCTCCTGCAGAGAGGGAACTCAGTCCCAAAGCAGATGTGCCATGGGGCTGAGCTGACAAGGGAAATGTTTGGTATCAAAAAGAGCCTGGGGAGAAACCATTGCTTGACACCATATATGTCCCACACTAGTCCCTTGGGTCATGAACTCAAGAGGACAAAATGCATAAGGACCTGCTGTTCAGCCATGATCAAGCCATGACTGTGCCTGATGGTCTGCATACATATCAGACACAAGCCAGAAAATACAGAAAGACCCTTATTTTTTTTATTTTCACTGTTTTTCTACTGCCTCTGGGAATTTAATAAACTCCACCAGTCCCTGCAAAATTCATCATCCATCTGCAACAGCAACGCTGCTAATCCCAGCCTGCGGTACCTGAAGGGATATGCTCTCCCTGCCCCACTGCCATCCCACCACCGCTCCTCAGCCACAGCTCACCTCAAAGCTGACAGAGCCATCATGGTCGGTGTCAAAGGCGTTGAAGAGGAAGGTGGCATATGTGCTGGAGTCTGCAGGGAGGCGAACAGTATAAGGGGATATTGTGTGACCCCTTGCCCCACAGGGCACCTGTGCAGAGCATGGGGACAGGGACAGGGATGGGCACTCACCTCCCTGAGGGAAGAACTGTGAATAGATCTGCTTGAAGTTTTCTTCATTGACAATGCCACTTGGGCACTCCTGTCAGGGCAAAGCCACAGTGTCACTTCCACATTGCAGAAAGGGGCTGAGTATCCCCCTAAATCCCTGTGGCTCCCTTGCCTTGCCCCCCAGCCCTGTGCACCTGGTGAGACAGCCAGTAAGGCTGCTTGGAGTATCTCCCTGATTTTGTGGGCTGCAGCCCTCGCTGGAGTGGCTCTGCATCTTAGGCACCCAGGAAGGGGGGGTCTGCACCCAAGGAATGAAACACAGGATCAGGTCTCCCCACTGAGCTCCCTGGAGGTGGGATCAGGCCATAGCCTTTTATAAACTCCAACCCCAAGGTCCCCAAAGCCTTCACAAACTCTGGGCACTGACAGGTGCAAAGCACCCCCTGAGATTGGCA